GGATCCGGGCCTTGAAGATGATGACAGTGACTTGGACGACTCTCTGAGCGACGAGGACACCAAACTTTTGATATCTGACGAAGATGAAGACGATAGTGGTGAAAGCAAGAGTTATATAAGCAGACCTTCTGATAAGAGTAAAGTTAAACACAAATCATCGCAGTCATCGAAGACGAAGGAGATCCTCGCCAGACTCGACACTGATGTTTTTAGGGGAAATAACAGCGAAGAACATGAGCAATTTTACAGGAAAAAACATCCAGATCATACAGTTCGTCTTAATAATCATTACGACAAAGTTGCAAACCAAACACTGAGCAAAGAGGGCGATGAATCCAAGGCGTTGAGTCACCACGCTGTCGGTGGGATATTTAATGGAAGCGTAAGCAAAGTGGCTTTAGAAGCAGAATCGATCAAACGTAGTCGTGACGAACATCATCACCAGGGAAAACATGATAACGATCAACCTCGTCGTCATCCTCCTCATCATCATCGTCGCCATGATCGCCATCATCATCATCATCGTCGTCGACGTCACCATCATGATAAACATCACAATAAGAAGGGAACTAAAGTACAAAAAGACAACGCTGGAGAAAACAAGGTTGCTGTACATCAGGCAAATTCCAGTGCTTCGTACGGCCAGCCGTCCATATATTACCCCTACCCAGCCCAGTACCCGGCAGTACAGCAGTTGTCCCCTTATCAGTCCTCTGACGCGACGCCAAAGAGCGAGTATGTGTACTATTCATTGCAGAAGGCGGATAATGAAGGCGCTGTGTGTCTCGATGGATCCACTCCTGGTTACTATTTGAGGAAAGGAACTGGTAAGGGTACCAGGAAATGGATCATCTATCTGCAGGGCGGAGCATGGTGCGAGACCAAGGAATCGTGTTTGAGTAGAAGTCAAACAAACCTGGGCTCCACGCTCTTCTTAAAATCTCTTGGCAAGCCCGGCGGAATTTTATCGAGCGACAAAGAAGAAAATTCGAAATTTTACAACTGGAATATTGCTTATCTTCCCTACTGCGATGGCTCGTCGTTCTCAGGCAACAGAGTAGATCCCGTGGAAGTAGAAGGATCCCTACTGTACTTCCGAGGATTTCGAATTTTAAATTCCACTATATCTGAGTTATTATCTGACAAAGATCTTGATAAAGCAAGCCATGTTGTATTTTCTGGTACCTCGGCTGGTGGACTAGCAGTTATGCTCCACGCGGACTTTGTGCGCTCTAGACTATCAAGAAAAGTTCACTTTCGCACTCTAGCCGATTCAGGATTTTTTCTGGACACAGGCTCCCAAAAAAGCAAGGGTGAGCGCAAATTCCGAAAACAGATGCAATCTGTTTTTAAGCTTCATGACTGCACAGATGGCGTCCCTCAAAAATGCGTCGAAAAAATGCCCGGAAAAGATCTTTGGAAATGTATCTTTCCACAATACTTTTTACGATATGTCAAGAGTAAGATATTCATTGTCAACCCTCTGTACGACTCCTGGCAGTTGGGCAATATTTGGGAAATTGAATGTGCTTTTAACCCGTATACATGTACAAATAAAGAAGTGAAGCAGATAAAAAAATTCAAAAAAGCCACTTTAAAAGCCATGAAAGAATTCTTGAATAGATCGAATATTGGACTATTTGCGGATTCCTGTATAGATCATGGCCAAGTCGTCTTTAGTAATCGGTGGAACGAGATAAAAGTCAAAACACCTGCCAAGGATTGGTCAATATCATCCTCCTTTATTCGGTGGCTAAAACATCCAAAGAAAAAACTTTTTATCGATGACTATGACTACCCGGCAAATCCAACATGCGTCTCAATCGACGTGGATAAGCGCTCAGAGATCTTAACAGAAGGCTTTTAGCTTCAGAATTTATACATCTGATAAGCTCTGATACATGAGTGAAGTTTGTAAAGGATTGGATTGATGTGTATCTAGTTCACGGGATAACTGTTCTAGATTAATGCGAAAGTGGACTGATTCTGGAGAAATTTTCCGTCCTGGTATAAAAAGTTTTTGTTGTTTTTAAAGTTATGTATAATTTCGATTCAGCTAATTTGAATTTGAGCAAGAGAGGATAAAGGCCTTATCCTCCCTTGATGTGAGTCCTCTCCCACTAAGATGGGCGCCGTTCATAAATGTTCGTCTAAGTTCGTAAATGTTCTTCTAAGAGAAGTACGGTAAACACCCGTGTATAAGAACAAATCGATTAAGAACATCAGGCTGAAATTTGGCCTATAAAGCAACATATATATAGTAAGAACCAGTTCAGCCTGATAGACATGTTTTTGTGTAATAAGGAAGAACGAATCGGAATAAGAAGGCAATGTAACTATGGTTGCTGCCAGACAATTACAAAATCATATCAGTTGCCTGGGTGTCTTTAGGATTTTAATCTCCAGCTGACGATCATGTTATGCTGACAGTTTTAATTTATTTATTGATTTACTGATTTGTTTACTTACTTACCTATCTATTTATTATAAAATAATTATGCAAACTAAACCTACTATAAATAAGAACTGGATCACCCTGAAGCCCGAAATCTTGTGTTCTTATATGCGGGTGTTTACTATACCTTACAGAGAGTCCAAAAAAATGACTGAAGAACGACAAGGAACATCTCTAGGTGTCTGTTTTAGGGAGGTGTCCGAATAACTGTAGACCTTCCCAAATAACTTTTAACGTTTTAAGGAAGTGTCTTATTTATAGAGATTCAAAGAAAATGACTGAACAACAGCAGAGACAAAGGCTACTGCATTTGTTTAAGGGAGGTGTCTGTTAAGAGAGTATCTGTAATCAAAATAAAAGTAGTCGAGACTCTCAGAAGATTAAGTTTCCTTTTTTTTTCAGTTAAAGAACTGCGTGTTTTGCAGTTCATTGCACAGTTAGTAAATTTGATCAAATATTTGGAAGAAAAATAACTTGCCTCCTTTTACCTTCTTTCACTTTTTAAAAACACGTTCTAATTTCCCGTTAGTTATTGTAAGGATATTGCGAATCGATACCGGTGCCTTTAGTTTTACTCTGAATACATCAGTTTAAACAATTATTTTTAGACAATTGTGCTTAATGACGCAGTACCGTAAAATTCCGAAAATAATCCCCGGGGCTTATATTTTTCAAAGGCTCTTTTTGAGGGGCTTATATTCGGAGGGGCTTATATTCGGAGGGGCTTATGTACGGAGGGAAAATTGCGTTTCGTAATCGATTAGGCTAGCCTTATAGTTGGAAGTAAATTTACCGTTTTTGCTTTGTTTTACTTTGTATTTGAGGGCAATTTTCCAAGTACAAACCCCCGGGGGCTTATATTTGGAGGGGCGATTTAACAGAGGGGTTTTTTGCGTTACCGGTTTGGGGGGCTTATATTTGGAGGGGCTTATACATGGAGGGGCTTATTTTCGGAATTTTACGGTATATAATTACAGTGATAGACGAACCCTCAGTTTCCTCAACAAAGTTTCTTGTAACGAGTGTAAGCAAAGAGGTACGTTTGTCATAATGAAAATAAACTTGTTTAGACTGATCGGTTCTTTTGGTTTGATAATATTGCTTCAAGTTTGGTTGACGATTAGACTAATTTATTAGATTCGCAAACTGATTGGTCTTTCTTTCGAGGACTGAATAATTTTATGAAACAACACGCAAAAACAAAATATGTATTATACTTTCACCCCTTTAAATTTAGAAGTGATTTGTACGTAACTTCTCCCTGTAACATCAATACATGTCATACATTGTCCAGCAGACAGGTTATGAGATTAAGCAAATGTATCAGCGAGACGAAGTTATCTTGATATAACCCAGAATTCTCTTAAACAATGGACAGAAACATGTATAGCAGCCAGAAAGGAGAATTTCTTATCAGATCTTGGGAGTTTAAATCGAACAAGCTACCATAGATTGAAACACAAAGTGTGAGGCCAAAACAATGAATCAGAATGACGATTCCATTATTTGTAACCGGTTACACCGGTATTTAACTTTGTCTTCTTTCTGTCTCACAATCATTACAATGATTTCTTCGACCTTTATGGAGTTTTTTATTCAGAGAAAATATCTGGGAGCTTTTTCTAACCCATCGAAATTACATTCAAGTGGAAATAATATTTTAAAGATTGCAGTTGCATACAAGACTCAGAAGTAGTGCTCGTGTGTCAGAAAAAAGGCACAAAAAAACAACAGTCCTAGACAAAAAGAATAATAAAACTGACTCGCACGTGCTACCGGAAGCGAACGGAGATATTTTTTGTTGCGATTTCTTATTCGAATTCCTGTTAGAAGTACCTGCATAAGCCCTATAAACAATAGACCTTTCTTTGTTTCTTTTTTTGCGACATTCTAAAACAAAGACTTAAACACTACTTTCTATAATTCTAAACTGTAAAAGATATCATGATATTTTTGAACTTCTTCGAAAGTGCCTCAGTCTGAGGTCCCGTCCACACGAAATCGCACATTTTTGAAACCGCACTTTTTTTTACCCCGATTCCTGTGGGCGGAGCCTTAAACAACTCTGGAGAGATGGGGGTTTTTTAATCGTGTAAAAAAGTATGCGGCTTCAAAACATTTATGGATTCATGTATACAGGGCCCGAGAATTCGCCAAATACTATTAGAATATCAGTTATGTCTAATGGAGAAAACAAAATGCAAGTGGCCAATTTGCTTCTTCTTGGTTCTTTTAAACATAGTTTTTAATTTGTATCCAATCAAAAATCGACAGATATCAAAATAAAGTAACTGATTTTATTCAGTGTGCTTAGTAACCAAAACACTTTACTTGAAAAGGAGCAATCCCGGTGATGTTTTGGTTAACGTACCACTCTAATGAAGGCACGCACTCTTCTCGATTAAAAAACACGTGTGTTATGTTTCATAATTACTGGTTCGATTTCAGCTACGTTAAAGAACAAAGGGTTACTGCCATTCTTTCCACAAAGCCCAGACCTTCTATAGTGCGCTAGCGCCGATCCCGCTTAAAATTCGATATCAAGATGTTTCGGTTATGGTGGATAACAGTGTTCGTTGTTGGACTGACTTTCAATGTTGTGTTATCACATGATGACCTACCGCCCGGCCATTCTGAAGACGAACATGATGAAGAACCAGAAGACCAGGCAGATGAAAATGACCCGGATAAAGAGGAAATAGACGACGAAGAGAAAGACGACGATGATAAAAGCGAGGATGATGAAGATGAAGGTCAGGAAGATGAGGGAGAAGACGAAAGTCAAGGAGATGAGGACGATGAACAAGATCGTAACAACTTGGAACATGACGCGTTTTTGGGTAAGTATAGGGACTGCATTTACCCTCACGTTTTTTGTTATCACTATAAAGAGCGAAAAGATACTATGGCTACAAGTCAAGATCAAAAACATCAACCTAGTCTACATCTGAGTAAGCACCGAGATTAGTTTTTTTTGTCGTATCGAGTGGCCATACATTAGAATTTCAAAGTGCTTGGTTACAAATTTATGGATTCAACGACTCAATCTTTAAAGGAATCAAATTAGAAAGCCTACGGCAAGACCTGATGGAGGTCTCACTGCTTAAGATATGGCCAAGTCTATGTCTGAAACTGAAATCCACTTTTAACAAATCTTGACGCCCTATCAACATAAGTAGGGTAATCAGTTTTTTAAAAATCCTCGCCTGATACAGCCCATTTGTGTGTTTACTTTAAAAAGGCCCGACTATTCCAGAAATTATACTTTGGTTTCTGGATAGTTAAGAAACTGTGGAAAACGTCTGATAGCACCCCACTACTCAAGCGGTAAAGAAGGTTAGATAAATGCTACTGTTAAACTTGCAGTTTCCATTTAGAGGTGTAAATGAAAAGAAACACATTAGCACCGCCTCCCAGAGACAGCACAGATTTTTCTAATTGAATGAAGGAAGCGCAGTTGTAACAACCAAACCAGTGTATTCCATTAATTGACATATCTTCGCCATTAATGATTCAAAGTTCAATTAACAAGCGTCTTCTAAGAAATAAAAAAATTGTCAGCAGGTACATGCAAGTGCAAATCGTCTCCTCTTTCTTGTTAATTTTTATTTTTAGGTTTAAGGACACATCCCTTTATTTTCTTGTTGTTTCCTTTTGTTTTACTTTTCTTTTTTTCTTTCCTTTCTGTTCTGAACTCTAATGAATGAATTGAGAGATCACGGTAGTCGAATGCATGAAAATGATATCAGCGCCCTCCTTAGACGCTTCGTTTTTCACACAGAGACGAGCGCGAAACGCGAGTGACACGCGAGTGACTGGTGATGAAGCGCAAGGGACCGCCTTCCTTAACGCGTAAATTTTCATCGAGAGAGAGACTTCTGGGTACAAAAACTAATCACACAAACTCGAGGACTGATATTAAGTGTTTAAAGGGCTGAGTTCTGCAACACTCCATTTGAGCCCCTTTGACATTGGAAGTTAAATTTGTAGGCAAGCAGTAAACACTTAAGTTTCGTTTCAAATTAAACATAAGAGTTTTAGCTCTCTATTGATTGACAGTTAAGTAAACACGCACTGAAAAGTATGGGCTGTTTTTATATCGTTGTAGCCAAGGGCGTAAGCGACATTCACACCGGTTAAACGCGCCGTTGCGTTTTAAAAACTAACCTGTGTAAAGACGCCCCCCTCCCTTCAGAAAAAATTCGGGAAGGGGATGGGGGCGTCTGTACATAGGCTATATAAATAAACCCTTCTTTTTCTTTATAAGGGGATAACTACACGGAGTTTAAAGGGCTTTCTCCCGAGGACGCGAAAACGAGATTAGCGCAGTTGATAAAAGATGAAGTGGACCTGAACAAAGATGGCGTGCTAACGGAAGATGAGATCAGGCAAAGATTTCACCTAACCAATAAAGAGTACAGGAAAAAAGAAGTCCTGGAAACCATGAAACAACATGACGAGGGTAGGTTACATGAAAAATTTCATTTTTGTCTAGAATTGGACCGGGATTGCATCTTATATACTAGATGCACGATACCAGCTTAAATAACAGGAAGTAAGTGAATCAGTGAACATAAAACACGATTTACTAATGCCCGGGTCGTAAGTGCGCCAGGGAGACGCCAAGCCATGGGGAAAAGGAGTGTGTTTCCCTTGCGTGCCCGATGTGATGATAACAAAAAAAGTGAAAAAGGAGTTACTGTATAAAAAAATAATCAAATATGGTGAATTAGGCAACATAAAAAGATTCAAAAACTTAAAAGGCTTCGATTCGAAAGACAGATTATCAGACCAAGTCTACAAGCTCAGCCCTGATCTAATTTAACAAGGAGAATAGACCTGTCGATTAGTGAAAAATGTTTTTTAGCCTATTAGCTTCTTTAAAAAGGGCCGTTTTTTCACTTCATAGACAAAGATGGTAAAGTGTCCTGGGAGGAATTCAAAAAGGGGCACTATTCTGACGATGGCAAGGACGAGGACAGCAAAGAACAAATGAAAGAAGACGAAGAGAAATTTAAATTTGCTGATGAAGATGGGGATGGCAAATTAGATTTAGAAGAATACATGGCATTCTACCATCCTGGAGTAAGTAATATAGATAATGATAAAAAGCAATTGTTATTTAGCTATATAAAAGTATTGGCTGATAGTAAAAGTCCGCTCAAGAAAAAAGTGGTTCGTTTATCTCGCTCATGCAGTTATTAACCGAAACGCTTCTATAGGTATGTGAAAAAGGTACCTTCTGAAGAAGGTATAAAAATAGGTGTACCTCTCTTTTTGGTCAACAAAAATGGTATATACTAAAAGAATCCAGAACTCGGGGGTGAGGTGGGGGTGGGGGGGGGGGAGAAGGGGTTGAAGTATCGCTAATTGCATCAAAAACCCTTCACTTGAGTAGTCTACAAACACCATGTTTCTGTCTGTACGTTACACAATTGTTGAAATTATTTCTTAACGTTCCGGTCTCTGTTCTTAATTGCTAACGACCTTAAGCAACGACGAAGGCGACGACTACGAGAAAGTAAAAAAACAAACAAACAAACAAAAAACAATGGGTTCATTTAATAACAACAACAACCGTGAACAACAACAACAACACTGCACGTGCATCACACTTTTTGGTATATGTCTTTGCACGACTACGACATGAAACGTCCTCATTCAACGTTTTATGGAGGACCTAATTTCAAGTCAACGAATTGTTCTTTCTCTTTTCTGAATTCCTCTTTAGAGCAGTATTAAAAGACTATTATTTAGGGAAAATCCCACCGTTGTATAAATTCAAGAGAGTATAAATATTTTCGCCATTTTGCTGTGGCTTGCAGGATAATCCACGGATGGCCGAGTTTACGATTCAAGACAGTCTAAAAAAACACGATAAAGACAAGGACGGCGAGATATCAAAGAAAGAATTTTTAGGTAAGAAAATCTTCCGTCTGGCATTAAAACCCTCGTTTTGCAAAGGCCTTTAAATAACAGAAGAGTAATGCTTAGCAGTCTTAGCACGAAGTACAAAACTTACGTCTCGCTCTGTTTTTTCCATTGTATTGTAGTATTGTAGGGTCTCCAAAATCCTCTTCTTTCAAATGGGGGATTACGAAGCTGTCCCTTTCAATATCGGGACCTTTTGATAGCCTACTTTCTACGAGAAAATTAAAAAAAATTAAACTTCTATGCAAAAGCCTGTCTCGTTGAATGACGGAGGCAAGAATCTGTGGGCGCCCGTGGGCGCTAAAAGGCGGGAAAATTTCGCGGGAATTTCGTTCGCGGCTTCCGATTGATCAAATGCAAGAGATCATAATGATCCCTTGTCAAACGATAATTTAACTGGCTAGAACTCATTTTGATGTGAAAATTTCAGTAAATAATTGTTTCAATATGCAGTAAAATATGGTGCTTGCTCTTAAAACATGCCATATCAAATAGGCTCATTATTTCCCGTCTCTTTCCTCAACCTCGCATTAAATATTTCTTTCAGCCACCTTTAGCGATGTCAATGATGACGCAAAAGAAGAAATGGAAAAAGATTTCACCAACAGTTTCGATAAAGACAAAAATGGAAAGCTTGGTAAAGAGGAGATGAAAAGCTGGCTTTTCCCGGACGACGATTTCTCACAAGAAGAACCAAAAACATTGATCAAAGAAGCAGACGACAATAAAGACGGAAAGCTGAGCATGGATGAAATTATGAACAACTACAAAGTCTTTATTGAAGATGAACCGAATGATGAAAATCATGATGAACTGTAAAACTAACCTCCGTCCTGCTGTAATCATTTTTTTTAGTTTTAGGTTACAAAATTTCTTATTGCTCAACAGAGACTTCTTACTCAAAGAATAACAAAGTCGATGTCGAATCTCCCCTTTACATTCAAATCTTTATTAAAGCAACGGCAACAATCATTACAGTCACTCTGTAACAAACTCTCAACCAGCTTATCAAGACATTGAATTCCATGGAATAAAATCTCTCTGTCTACCCTTTCTTACCATGTAAGTCTTTTTTAGGTATACCCTGAGCAGAAGGGTAAGACAGCTGATTTTCCATATTCCGTAAACCCAGGTGGGGGGGAGGGGGTGCTTTGGTTAATTTTGCTGGGTATGTGCCGCTGACCTCTCTAAGCCCCTACCCCGTTATAGTCTATTCTGTGGCTAATTATATACCCCATCTTAGTCACTTTTGGGCAAATATGTAATTTTCGCGATCCCAACTTAGTCACTTTCTATATATTTTTATGGATTTAACCATTTTTAGATTGAATGAAGAACACTTTACTTCTCATCTGCAGTATACGTTTGCTAACCCTAGATATGAAGAACTGTCTTACCCCCAAAAATCTGAAAATGTGCGACCCCATTCTATGAGTAACTCTATTGAAAATGCGACCCCATTATAGTTAATCCAGTCATCAACTGCGACTCCATCCAGCGGCACATCCCCATGACCCTGTTATGAGGAAGTACCGCCCCCCTCCCTGGTCCGTAAACTGCCGCTTATAAGATCCCCCACTTAACAGCCTCCCCTGTGTTATGGGCCCATGTACCTGCAAACGAAAAAATTCATCCCAAGCTCCTCTCTAGCTTGTATTGAAATGAATTCGATTTATTATGATGTTTTGAAGCTTAATTACAAACCAGTAAATGCAAAACGCATTTTGATCAGCACTGCAAAAGCTTGTTTCGATGCGCGTTTTTTATAATATTTAAAATGTCAGCAAAACCACAGCAACAAACCAATGAGTAGTGCTGGATCTTCCCAACAAAAACAAAGAAAAATCATTNCTGCAAACGAAAAAATTCATCCCAAGCTCCTCTCTAGCTTGTATTGAAATGAATTCGATTTATTATGATGTTTTGAAGCTTAATTACAAACCAGTAAATGCAAAACGCATTTTGATCAGCACTGCAAAAGCTTGTTTCGATGCGCGTTTTTTATAATATTTAAAATGTCAGCAAAACCACAGCAACAAACCAATGAGTAGTGCTGGATCTTCCCAACAAAAACAAAGAAAAATCATTGACCACTTATCCTGCAAATCAAAAAATCTTATCTACTTAATTCAATGCAACAAATTGAAATGCCAGTACATCGGAGAGACCAAACGCCAACTAAATGAACGATTTGGAAAACACCGCCGATCCATCATGAACCACCAACAACTCAGTGATCCCACTCCTGTCTCCTTACATTTTAATCAAGCTGGATAGAACTGCCCATGATTAGGGAGCTTGATTTTTGGCATTTAGCATCTGCGTATATCTCCACGATGTCGGCGTCACCAGTGTTAGTACTTGCTTTTCGTTTTGGACTTTCCATTGTTTTCTCGTTTGGTGAATTGCTCTTAAGATCTGAATGAGCCACTACCATAACGTTTTAAGTTCTAGTCAGGGAACTATCACTGGGCGTTGGAGCTTCTGCATTCTCTTGTTTTGATGATCGGTCGTTAGGTTATGGGTGTACCTCAACAGTCAAAAAGTGTCGCTTGTGATCGTGTTGTGTTGTTGAAGCTTGTTGAATTTTCTTCTCTGGAACTTGTCTCTGCAAACTCTGAGGGACGTTTTAAGTAAGGCATGACTTGATTCCGCACGCATGCTCCATTTTCTTCTTCTTTGCTTAAACCATTTCTCCCTTTGTCAAAGGCTCGTATTCTGCAAGCTATTTCACCTCTGCAGTGGTTGGGATTACGAGGCAGCTGGTGAAGAGATGCATAGGCTGTATGTATATTTCTGGCCTCTTCAGATTCATTCTCAGCATTCTTGCCTTTTGCAGCCCCTCTTACATTCATACATGGAACATTCTGTTTGACTTGTTGCTTGTGGTTGGTTTTTAGGAAAGCCGTTTTTCCGCAAGGATCTTGAAGAAGCTGTTTCAGGGCACGGCGAAACTTTCGAGCTCTAAAACAATAGATGACTGGATTAATCGCGCTGGTTGAGAATATACAAGAGAAGGCTAGGTGACCAGGCCAAGCCACACTAGTGGATCCGACGGGACGACTTAGCCAAGCTGCAATCAAAGCAGGTGGAGTATAACACGCAGTGAATACAAAGACAGTGATGGCCACAGTTTTGGCAGCCCGGATATTCAGTTGGAATCTGGCCTCAGCTTGGAGTCGAGGTAGTTTGAGTCTTTTTCTCTACGAATAAAAGGAATACCATCGTTTTCATTTTGAATGCAACACGCCTAAAATGCATCTGTTAACATCTTCATAATAGTAGTAATTTTGAGCCCTATTTACAGTAAAACGTTAGGTATATATCGAGTACAATAAGTTCGTCTACTGAAAGCAGGGTTCTAGGTCGACGGCTGAGTGATCATTAATCATGTACCGTGGAACCACAGTATACGGTATACGATAATTTCCCGTACGCCTATGATCGAAATCACCCAATTACAACCTACAGAAGTGACCTTTTGAACCCGCTGAAGGAAGCCTATGTTTCCTGAGTGGTCCGTTAGAGTGAATGAAGGGGGCAAAAAAACGTAAACGCCATGTTAATATCTTTTTGACTTGAGATCGCATGTTATTGTGAAGCGCGGCAAACTTGTATCAAACAAATATGTCTCCAGGGTGTTGTATGTAAAGTGTCGATTGCCTGGTGAAACATTTTGCTTCTTGAAAAACGTTTGCTGTCATTGTTATCAATTTTGTGCTTTAAGTAAGTTCTACGTAACTCATTGTTTTTTTACGAGCTGCTGATTGGCCCACAACTAACTTTCGCGGAATGCATTGTTATTTTCCTGTAATCTGATTCATTTTTTATATAAGAATAATTAACAATTATTCCAGCCAACGAGGCGCGTATCGCCGAGTTGGCTATAATCATCTCATATCCAACAAGCGCGAGCATATACGGAGAGCATGGTATAATTAACAATTATTCCTCGAGCCCGAATGGGCTCTGACTAATGGGCTATAGACTCAGAGGCCATGAGGACGAGAGGAATAATTATTGTTTCAGTAAAATCCAACTAGTTGGTCAAAAATATCGAGAATAAAAATCTTTAGCTAGTTAAAGCTAGACTTTAATCATTTTTTGCTCGCCAAATTGCCGGCGCTTTTCGCTAGTAGTGGGCTATAACATATAGCCCCCGGGCCTAGTAGTAGCTCAACCAATCAGAATGCAGCATTGATAATAGACCACTAGTTGGCTTTTACTAATAGCTCATATACCATAATGGCTAAGCCCATCAAATTGCTAGAATTGCATTATCAAATGATTCAGTTTTCAATAAATATTTTATGAGAATATCGAGGCTGCTATTAGCGAATTTTACGAATATGATAATAAACTCAATATAGGTTTGTGTGGTGAATAATATAGGTTTGTGTGTTGAAAAATCTGCTAATACAATACAATGATACTATTTTTTTTCTCTAAGCGGCAAAACTGGTCACCAAAACGAAATAACCTACTTTAACCGCAATTAAACTAGTACCCCAATATATTTTAAAACGAAAAAGTCATCAAACTATTACGTAAGAATAATCCAAGAATCCTTTCAACCCAATATGAGCAGAAAAATAAGAATATTCAGCCCGGGCCGGAGAGAAAATCGACGAAACGTAAACAATTCCAATCTAACTTTTTGTCTCACCTGTCGTTTCTTCCTTTGCACTGAGCAGAAAACCAGGGCTCCAAATACTACTGAAGTGAAGATGTAAATTGAAGTGGTTACTATGTGGGCGTTTCTGGCTTCAGCTGCAAATGCAACGAGATATTTGACAACAGGGGCATCTTGAAAATCGTCACCAGAATGAAAAATTGACCGCGAGACAGAGGCAGTAACACAGACCAACCATATAACCAGGTTTATTAACAAAGCTTTTTCATTTGTCTTCCAGGTGAAATATTTCAGTTCTAGTTCTATCGCCAGGAAGACGTTCATCAGTAGCATCATCATGGAAGCGATTTTAAGGAGGTTACTGAGGTTGGAGAGGAAAAACGAAATAATCGCCAAAGTCTTTCCTGTAAACCATTTGAGTCTCAGGACAGCCCAGAGCAGGTAGCTTGGTATGTTGATAAACGCGTTCAAAAAATCGGCCAACGCTAGGTTGGCAGTCAGAATGTTGGGGAAGGTACGAAACTTCTTAAACCGAGCAATAATACCAAGAACAAAGCCATTTCCAAGAATTGCCAAAACGGCCAGTAATATCAGAAGTACTGACATACAGACGGTGATGGGAGCGAAACCATTGACGTCCATGGTTTTGATAGCGTTTTCACCCTGTTCATCTGAGTATCAAAGCATCTCAGTTTTAAATGAGCTGTTCTACAAAATTTATCAAGATTCAAACAATAGCAATTACAATTGGAAATAAGGATGCGCGATTGCCATTATCAACAAAATAAACTACTCAACTTTGGCATAGCCCCTTTAAAGAGCAGAACCGACGTATTATTACTTTCTTAGTACTAGTTTTTTAAATGTTATGTCATTTGCAGCTGACATTTTCCCCAAAACGTTACCATAAAGGGACTATGTGTACTCTTTCCGACGTAGGAGTTTCAGAAAGAGTTTTATAAAAGAACCTTTGATCCACGTTTTGTGAAAAGCTCCTTGTACAGGTAACGTTTCTCCTACTGTTTAACATAGGACTCTGTAAAATAAAATTTGCTTTCCTTTTTTTTTCTACTGTGCTTTACAACTTTCGTAAGTTTTAAAACGGTATTCCTCCCGTTTGTGGTCTACAGACTTGCGTGCATTTGAACAAATCATTAAGTTTTGTTTTCCTAGAAGTCAAAAATTA